TTTTTTCCCCTCCTAAGGGAGATGCCAGGTTCTCTTCTCGTTTATACTGGTAGGAATGTGTAGGAGCATAACATGGAAGGGTGTTCCTGGGTAACGTCGGTCCGTTTTGCCAGAAGTTGTACTGTCCCTTTTAACAGGTGTGTTCTTGCTTTGCAGCTAGTGTTGATCTGCATTGCAGCAGAAGTTACTCCAGTTAATTGTAAGCAAGAACTGGTTTATCAATCAACAGTAAAAGTAAAGAGTGTTTGACTTTAAATGGCTGTGTGACTTGCCTGGCAGATTGCTATGAATGTACTAGGTCAACAGCGTTTGGGGACCACGTAGTTCACGAACTAGCTTCTGTGACCTCCCGTGCTGCTGCATGGTACGAACAAGGTGACTTTGTGGGCAAGTCCTACAAAATTGCTGTTCCCCCTGAGTTCTCGCCAACACGCGATTTTCCTCCCGCCCCTTTCCTTCCTCTTACTTGGTCTGCTCTTTCTCGGTTCGCTTTTAGGTGTTCTTGTGTGAAAATCAATGGCCGATGCATTTAATGGAGTTCTAGTAGGTGTGTAGCAGGTATCAAGTTGCAATGCTTTTACGAGGTACGCTATGGTAATAAGACTTCACATGGTTACACGTCATCTCTATTTGGTTTATTTAATAAACAGTTTTTCACTAGAACCTGGTGCCGAGTGTCCTGTTGCCTCATTTATAGGCCTCTACCTACTTTGTCCTCAAGATTCTCGTTGAACCATACTTCTGACTCCCATAAGATACAAATGCAGTGTGTGTATTTTGGGGCAAATACTGAGCTGTTGAAACACAAACTGATCTTGATGAAGTTGTGTTGTCCTTTGTTTCCTCTTTTAAGTTCGTTACTCCGGTTTACCCCATCTAAAACTAGATTGTAAGCTCTTGAGCAGGAACAGTCTTAGTTTGTAAAAATTTAGCTTCTGTAAAAAGCAAAGGCTACTGAATAAAACCGAAACATTAAGCTAAGGCTGCACTTCAGTGCAGTACTGGTAGTGGTCATTCAAAGCGTGTGCAGTGTTACAGCAGTACGCCGTCTCTTCCGTGAGGGCTTATTTCCAGTGTGTCTGTACGGGAGCGTTCAGCCTTACCTTTCATAAACGACGCTTAGGGTATTGCATTCTAATAAAGCACTAAACTTGTGTTCGTTTCTGATGGATGCTTCTCTGGAAGAGGTACGGCTCTGGGAGCAGCTAGCGGCTCATGCTGTTCCGTAGCGCCTGTGGTGTTGCTACCAGCAATAATGGGGAAGGTAATGGCTACGCTTTGTGACTGCCCCACCACCCAGTGTTTTTCTCTACGCTTGCTCAATCTGAGCTTTTCTAACCTCTTGCAGATAACCTCTCACTCTTCATTATTAATGTAACAAACGCAGTTTACCACTCACGTGTTACGGACTACTTAATAGCTTTGCTGTGGGAACAATATTTTAATGGGAACTCGTGTGCTGGTGTTTGCATTTTTTTTGTTGCTGTATCAACAGCTAAATCGACGATCGCTTGGCGATTTTCTAGCAGTGTAACAAGTCTTCAGAGAGATGCTTTTCTCCATGTTAGTATTCGGTAAGGTAGAACGCAGCCCTAATAGCTTTTTCACTAGATGCCTGGCTCCAAAGTTTGATACCACATCATGTCTTTTTATACAGCGCAGTTCCTGGTTTGTACACTTCGGATTTTGGTTTCTTGAAAGTTTTCAACGATCTATCGGTAAGACAGCCAAGATAGACTTCAGTCGGGGGTTTCCCACCTTTTACAACCACTTCAGGTTTTTTTAACAGTGCTGTTTTCCTGAATAGCTCCTCGACTCCTTTACAGTGTCTCCTTTTTGTGTATGTTGAAAACACACAGTCTAAGGCCATTGCACAAAGTGCACTAAAAGTAGCTTCAGGAACCCTTTGTCTTGGGAGGAGAGCTTGCTATAAAACCTGCTCTTTCCTTACCTGTCTAGCCTAACTTTCACAAGTAATTTAAGGATGTGAAAACATAAGGTATAGGCAAGGCTAAGCAGTGTTTGGGGTTTTTTGTGTTTTTTTTTGATGGGAAACGGTATAGGCAAGGCTAAGCAGTTTTTGGGTTTTTTTGGGTTTTTTTTTTTTTTTCTTTAATTTAAGGATGAAAACATAAGGTATAGGCAAGGCTAAGCAGTGTTTGGGGTTTTTTGTGGTTTTTTTTTTTTAAACATAGGCTAGTCTCAGGGAAGACACTTCAAAAAGTATCAACAGTTTTTAGGTGAAAATGGCAGTCTACTAAAATTGAAAAAAACGGGACACACTTCTGAATTCTGCCTGCAGTTTCTTCTGTTGGTAGAAGCTTCAGGTTTGAGAAAATTACGTAGTACATCCAGACTAACGCTCAGTGTCTGTGTCATCAGCACTGTTACAACTCACAGTCCACCCAAAATTAGTAATTCACCTGAGAGGTTTTGTAGGGGTATGGTTGCTAACTGAGCTCTCAGAAATCGAGATTCATACATAAACTTCTTAAATGCAGTTGTTGAACAATAACGAAAGTGCAATTAGCTGAGGGCAGGTTGTGACACTTTCCAATCTGCAAATTTACAGGTAATGGAATGGGGCTGGGGAAATGGGGTTGGGGCTGATGTCTTCACTTTACATGGGTCATCTGGAGCATGCTGCTTTCTATTAAGATTGTTCTCTGAAAGAGTTCCAACATGCTTATTTTCAGCATGTGCCAAAATTTAACCATGTAACTGCTACCCAGCTGGGTGTATGCTTTACTTCGTTAGTAGCTGGCTTTACAAGAGTCTGCAGAGCTCACTCTACTGCTACTGAAGAAGTGGGCATTGGAAATTTGAGCCTTTTTTTTTCCTCCCTTCCCTCATAGGACTGTAGAAGCTTGTGTTGTGAGGCCCTAAAACAGAAATACTTGGGTTTCTGGTTTTATCAGTTACGGGCCTCATCTAGTATCTATCAGAATTTGTGCATGTGGGCCGTGAAGTAGACTTAAAGACCTGGTCCTGCAAAGACTACATGCATAGACTTTAAAATGCTTATTACGTCATTTAACTGAAGGATGACAATCATGCTGACTCAAAAGTGTACTGGTTGGGTTTTTTTTTTTCCCTGGGAACTAGAAATAAAGTTCACAATTCATCATATGTATCCGTTACCTGTTGCATGTTTTGGTTGAAGTTCATGAACTAGCGATTAAATAAATGCCTTGTGAATTGCTGTTAGGATAGATATGCTTCGCGCTGGTGCTTAACCAACAGCAAGAAATTTCAGGGCCTCGCTAATGAAAGTTTCCGCTATGAATTTACCCTATCAATTTGAGGCTGTGGCAAAACAGGTAAAAGAACAGACGCACACATTTATTTAAAGAAATATTTTCATATAAAATGCAGAGCAAATGGTTCGAACTGGCTGATTTCATTATCGATAACTCAGTGCGTTTTGCACTCTGGGAGGCAGTGCTCCCTTTTTAGAAAACGCCACTTGATGCTACCAGTTACTGTAAACACAAGTGCAAACAACCAACATGATTTACATGCTAATGGCATAGTTTTTATGTCTTCAAAAGGTATAATTTGGCATTTAAACTTGTATTGCATGTATGGGTAGTTTTTCTGTGTTCGGTGCAAGTGCTTTTTTTAACATCCCTGTCCATAAAGTTGCTACGTTGTCATCATGCCGTGACCAATAAGATTTTATTTTAATACTAGTTTTACGGGTTTTTTTAATAAAAGATATAAAAAGTATTTGTTGCTATCTAGTTGTTAATATTAGTAATTATTTTAATATCTTACAAACTAGTATGCCTCTTAACATTCCTTCCTTATCATTCATCACATGCCTTTTAGGCCATCTTTTTTGCAGACCCTTTTCAGGTTGTAACATAGAAAAGGATAAGCTGTTGTGAATAAGCATGCGAGTGAATGAAATGTCGTCTTTTTCATAGCACAAATAAATAAGTATCAAAACCAAAAGCTCTTCTCTTCATTCAAAGCCACTATTGAAGTGTAACCTCATTATCACAAGTACAGATAAAGAGTAATTTGGTTCAATTTAATTTACTTTAAAGATTGAGGGAAAATCTAAAAATAAAAATCCGTAACATTGAAGATACTTAAAAAATACCAGTTTTTAAAAAGCTAAAGCTAAAAAGAAAAACTTCAGTACTTCTTGAGAAAGGTAGCCAAATGGGGGGCGAAGGGAAGGTACACAAGGAAATACGTCACAGATTAGGAAACAACAGGAACTCATTCACCATCACTCATTTTCATGGAAGAAAGTTGAGAATGATTCAGTTGCAGAGGATGAAGGTAAGACAATATTGAATCAGGTACTAATTATTTTTCAGAATCTATTTTGTAGTTGTAAAATTAATTGGTACATTATGTTTGTTTGGAGCAATGAAGGTGAAAGTAGTGAGGAAAAATGCAATAGCCTCCTGGGCCTCTCTCCTCAAAGGAAAACTAGGAAAAGCAGAACAGTTCTGAACAAATGCAAAGCACAGAGTATCTCTTAGGAATACATACATCCACAGTGAATTTAAGATGAAGATGAACTTGAGTTACAATTTTTCTTTCAGTGCTAAAAAAGAATAATAAAATAAGGTCACTTCGTGTATGACGAATCAAGTACTCGAGACTAAAACACGTTTTTCTTCCATGTGTAACTTTGATCTCAAGCTTGCTTTTTCCCCCCCGTTGATGTTCTCTCTCCTCCCCCGTCACCAGAAACTAAATTCCTAGTTTTACATAGGCCTATATAACTATGCTTAGACTGATGGCCTAGCTCCTTTAATTCTAATTAAAACTAAACAGATTTCCTCATTCAGAAGCCTCAGCTGGTAGACTTTCTAACAGATCACAGTCGGCTGGGTTTGCCAGACCCTTGAACATGCGGTCTTCCTCCTCAAACGTAGTCTTTTCTGTTTGTACTACTGTAATCGCTGACCTCCAGTCGTCACGCAAATACCCTTATCATTTTTTCAGGAAAAATAAAACCTAAGTGATCTTCAGCCATCTTATTTTTGTTTCTGCTCTTTTTCGTGATCTTGTTTCTGTTCGGACTTGACCAAGTGTTTGGGTATTATGAAAACACTGCCATCGCTACTGCAATGAATGACATATTGGCGTGGGTTAACAGGTCTACCCTGGTCATCCCTCAATCTACTGAAAATGTCACAGTACAAGTTGTTTAACTTCTGCTTCATCCGGCTGATTGATCTGCTACGCTGAGAGTGCTCCTTTTTAAGGCTCTCCTTTTGTGTTTGAAGATTACATACGTCTTCTTCCAAGTTAAGAATTGCATTCAGTTTACGTTTACGACAATTTTGGGCAGCAACTTTGTTTTTTCCTCTTCGTCTGATGTCACGTAGGAGTGATACCTGAGTATCTGTCAGATGGTTCTTTGCTAGCACTCTGTTGAAAGAGTCAACAGGCATACTCACAATTTCATCTACTGAAAACGGTATTCTCAGAGCTTTTGCATGGCGTTCATCACTGCTAAGGTTTGTATCAGTAGAATTATGGCACCTATCCTTTACTTCGTTTGGTTTCTCCATCCACATCTGCTGCTGATACTCCGGCGTGGATGCTGCTTGACTTGGCAGCTGATTATAAGTGTGGTTATGAAGAAATTGCTGAAGTGTGGCTTCTCTAGAACACCCTGAATCACCTGGATATTCCACGTGACCATATTTACTGTGTTCTTGGCTATAGCCACCAACAGCTCCTAAGCCATGTGAAGAAACAGATTTAACATCACTGCTGTACCCAACAGCACCTTCACTGCAGACTGAGTAGGAGGTGGTGCTGTGACTTGAATGCAAAGACAGTCCCGAATCTGAGCCAGGTTCTTCAAAGAGCTGAGAAACTTCTATAGGATCAAAGCCTTCCTTCAAAGCCAAAGACATGAGTTTAATTTCATCAAAGTTATCGTCATGGGCCATTAGGTTTCTAATGTCAGCAGCTGAAAACAGCCCTGTCAAATTTGACCCATGAAGTAGTGATTCTGGATTTGTGATATTAGAGCTTGACTGAGGAAAAGACTCTTCTTGCCTTTGTAACTGTCTTGTTTCTGAATTTGATTGAGTGGGGTAGTCTGTTCTTAGTAGCGTGGCATCATGAGGACTGAAACAGTGGCAAAGTGTCTGGGTCAAACTTATATTGTGGTGTGAGGATGATGGGTCTTGGCCTCTACTAGAAGTAGCGACTTGTATATCTTCCAGTAAACTCGCCTAAAAGATGATGGGGGGAAAATGGGATCTTTTATAAAATGAATGTCTCTACGTTTCTCACTTACACAGGCTTGATCAATTTATTTTTTAATATTCCACTATTTGAATCTATTAAAGTCAAAATTTTACACGTTAAACTTCTAGCTATCCTGAATACTGTTTCCCATTTGTACACAGCATCACTGTGTTGGCACATGGCAAGAGGAAGCGGGAAGGGTGCAGAAGAAAAGTGACTGAAGGGTTGGGAGGAGGAGGACTCACGAAGGACAGCGTGGGACTGATGAGTGTAAAGAGGTGGAAATGGGACTGTTGCTAAGTGTACATCAAACTACAGCCTATGTGTTCATCTGATCTTGGCTAAGAAAAGGTCCTTCTAGGAGGGGCGGTCCCTGGGGCATCTGATTCCAGGGTGAGCTGGTTCAAGGTGCTAACTGTTAGAAAATTAACCTTGTAAAGAAGATAAATAGCTCACTGGCAGGACTTAACCAGTGAGAACAGTGGTGTAAGAAAAGAGGGGAGGAGGACAGGAACGTTAAGGTCGTGCTGGCACATTCTTACTGCTTTTCTTTCACAGTTTATAAAGCTTTTGGGGCTGTGAGCTGCCACATTTGGCTTAGCTCCTTCTTAACTGAGGTCTATTGTGTTCAGTTTTCAACTCAACTCCTTTACTAATCAGTTTGGAGGAAACATCCCCACCCCCAATCACACCTTCTGTGGATGTCTTTTGACTTTAAATTACTACTCAGTTTTTCTTTACAAAAATAAAGTTGCTGTATGATCCCTCAGCCCTGAAGGCGAGACGATAAACGAGTGCTGCAGTAGCATTAAGGCCCCCCTTTTGTGGGCCTGGGTTATAGTTGCTGGGTCCTAGAAATACAAAGCCACTGCGCAAGATTATGTCAGGGCACTTGCTGACAAGAAGAGTAGTCATAAAATACACGGATACAAAAAACTTGAGAATGTAAATACATCAAGTAGGAAGCGTACGATATGATTCCTCCATAGCTGAGCATCCCTACTGTGGTGCAGGAAAGGACTTTTGTGACTGCAGTTCATTGAACAAACAATGTACAAAGCACTTTCCACAGGGAAGGAATGATGTACCATAAAGACCAGAACGTCTTAAGTTCTTTACTATGCTTACTGGGAGCACAGGTAACAGAAGAAAGTCTTGCCTTATTTCTCCTAGGGAGTTACCTTGTACTAGACCATCTGTAGTCTGAGGGATAGAGCTGGTATTTTCAACTAAGCCCTTGAAAAGAAATATTCTTAGCAAGTTAACTATTAAAAAATCCCCCACACTGTAAAAACTTCGTACCTGGAAAAACCAAGCAATCCATTTTCAACAGATAGATTGTCACAAGATGGCAGTGCATTAATAGTCTTAAATAAAATATGCAACCGTGTATTGTTATAGCTACATAAAGGCTACAGCCAAATTCCTTTCAAATTATGAGAAGAACAGAGAAAATTAAACTGATGAACTTCTGAACCTTGTTAGTGTGGAATCCATCACCAAAGCTGAATAGAGGAGGACGCTAATTTATGTGCTGGGAGGCACTATCCAACCTAGAGATTCCCAAAACTAGGTGTTCCAGAGATAAACATGAAGTTATATGAAAAACACTAATGACCCTGTAAGGCTCCTACAATGGGAAGCATATGTAAGATGCCCTTGGAGTATTGCAAAAAAGGAATGTAGGGAGTAGCTTCATGTTTAATGATTGCAGCTATGAGCTGTGGGACAGGAGGGAGACTCTGATTAAGATAACTTTTTTTGTGAAGATGGGCACCCAGAAAGTAAACAATAGTATCAGAAGCCCAGGAGACAAAAAAAGAAAACAAAAGGGTTTTGCCACTAATGCTACTGACCTGATTTGCAGCAAAGATGGGTCCGTTCTTCTTGAGAGTAGTATCCTTCTAAGCACTTGACCCAATATTTATGGAAACTCTAATCTTTGGCTGCAAATGCTTAATAGCTGCTAGTGCTTAACAACTCAATGTTGCTCTAGAGAAACACACCAAGAGCTGCTGTATAAATATGAATTGGCATTAGGTTTCAGAAAGGGAATTATTAGTTGAACTAGTTAAGTTGTCCGGTGACTCCATCCAACTTTGAACACCAGGTGACATAGAAGATAGGACTTTGCAGTTTTCAAATCCCAGACAAATTACTGGGGAAAATTTTTCGAGTAGAGCCAATGACAGCTGCTGTAAAAGGTGGGTACTAGCGTCTTTAACGTCTTCAGGTAAGTTTTACTGCATTGATTTGCTGATATATTCACTGGGGTTTTTTTAATTAGACAAAACAGAGTAAGTCATTACGCAATAATCACTGACTGTATCCCAATCTATTAGCAATACATGTGTTTTCCCATTTACCTCTAGCATGTTTTCCATCTGCGATGACAGAAGCTGTAAATAGCCCTCTAAGGAGAGAAGGGAATCTACATGGTTGCGGTTGCTCTGTGACAGAAGAAACAGAAATGCTTTGTGAAGCACAGTTATTTTACATAAAAAGAGGTAAAAATCAAAGTCCGAGAGGAAACAGAGCACAGCTCTGTGAAACACTGCTGCTGACCCTGCCATCAAGTCTTCATCCTGATGGGAGATGTCACGTTGCTAGAACAAGCAGAATAACTCCATGGCAAGAGCATCCTACTCTGCCCCACAACAGCAGAACTGGGCTTTCCTACTCTCTGAGGCTGCGCCTACCCACCATTGTGGAAAAAGCAAGTATTTTTTCAAAGCCTAACTGCCAGGGCAGTGGCGCACAGAGGGGCTGGCAAGAAAACCGGATCCGATGTTCTCGGCTCTCATAAGATCTCAAGAAGAACAAATGCTCTTTTCATTGTAGCTCTCAGAGAGAACAAAACCCAAAGTGCACCTGTTTCAGTTTAACATCATTAAGATTATTGCTCTGCCTTCTAGTTACAATGCACATTAAGATCTGAACAATCCAGTTTCCCAAATGTAATTCTACATCTGAGCATCGAGCTTTACATAAATGGTGAAAGCAGTGTAATTTAGCATCCACATCTCAAGTGTTTGTAGGCCAAAAAAATCCTTGCCCACAAACACACCACCTTCATGATGGAGAAAATAAAACCAAATTGAAAAATGGTTAGTTGCAAGTGATTTCTGTAAACTTTAGAACATTTCAACTACATAAACTATGCTGGGGGGGGCAACTTTTGAGAAGGTGTACAAGGGCATCATTCACAAAGTATCATCTGAAGTCACTGTTCTTTTCCTGCCCTTGCAAAGGACACTCCAAATGAAAAGAGGAAATCAAATATTCCTTTCAAAACCATTCACTCCATTTCCTTCACTACTCTTTATCTCAGTGATAAGACCTATATCCTCCCTCACATCCTCTTCACAGTTTTCCCTTCTTCCATTTTTTTCATCATTTACTTGATTTATGTCTTCCTCCTCCTCCTCCTCCTCTTGCAGTTCCAGCTGATCATCTCCTTGGTGTGGACAGCAGTCATCCAAAGCTTCCTGACATGCTTTCACGTCAACATCCTGAAGACACAAATAAAACAGTCCTATTAAGCAACAAGCTGTCAAAATTAATCTTTAAAATGCACCTTTTTTTTTTTTTTTACAGCTATAGCATTTCAAATAAAGTATACACTAAACAGTTCATTCATGTGGATGAACTGACTCTCTGCAGTGTTTGGGGGCAGAATGAGACCGACGTCGGTTCAGGAGTGCAGACACCGCCTCCTCTTTTGGTGCCCAGGCACTGAACCCATCTGCGGTAGCAACGGACATTCATAAACACTGGAAACAAATTCTTCTAAAACAGACACATGATGATGTGATTTCATGGAAAGTTTGGGCTATCACTGTCTTTTGGATGTCATTCCACAACAACATATCCAAGCCAGATGTATACTCAGTGATGGAATCTTAAAATAGGCAATTATATGTGGCCAGTTAGCAAAATCCCTTGCTTTTTCTTTCAGGGAAACAATCACATTAACATGTATTGTAATAGCAGCTCTGTTTCCCAAGCACTTCCATGTAGTCATTACCCAGTTCCCGTTTATTGAAATGATGTATTTTTTTTTTACTCTCCAGCAATGAAATTGTTCTGCTTTTCAGAAGCATTTTTCAAGTTATCTTTCGTCTATAGTCATATCAGCAGACTTTTTTAATTTTTATTACAGGGCTGGGGTATTGCTAGAGTAAGAAGGAATCACTGCTAAGGACTTTGCATATTTATATTTAAAAAAGCTTTGATGTTTCAGCTTTTATAGGGCAAGTCTGAGTTATTAAAATGTGAAACTCGGTGGAATGGCAGCCAGAAAAGCAAGTGGCCCCACTGCATTAGTTCCATATATGCCCAGCAAAATGCAATGGCAGGAGCAGAAAAGACAAGCTCTCAACAGCAGCAAATGTAACGAGTTAGTGTTCTGTTCTAAAAATCACAACAAATTTACTTTACAGGTTTTATATGAAAGCATAGACTATATAAAAACTGTAGTTGTAATAGTCATCAAAATGTGCAAGAGGTTTTTTTAATTATTGCTTCATACAAAACACATTAAAAATTAAATGTAAGAAGGTTTAAAAATAGGACTCGAGTAAATTTAAATATAATTTGAAAATAAAGTAACACTAATTTCATTTTTATTAATTCTATTAAAATTTATTTATAAAATTATGAAAATTAATTTTATTTTTAACTAATTTTATTTGATTGCTTTCCATTTTTCTGTACTTTCTTTTCAAAGATTGGAAGGGAACTTTAATTTTATAAAAAGTCATTTCTAACAACAAATAGATATACAGGGCACTCATCTGTCACTCTGATGTAAGAGGTACTTTCCTTCAGTGATGCCCAACACAATTTCTAGCTATTAAAAATTATATTCCAATACAGATTGTCTTGTCAGCTGCAGTTGGAAATGACCAGATGACTTATTATTGCCAAATATGAGAAAACAGATTTACTTTTTTAAAGACACACACAAAAATACAGTTTTCCTCTGTGTAGTAAAACAGCAGGAGAGGGAATTTACTGTATGGGACACTGAGTACATGGTAACTAGCTGCTTGCAAACACTTAAATGAGTTCAATGGAGCTACTCACAGGCATGAAGTTAGTCCCATAATTACATGTTTGCAAGACCAGGGCTAGTCTTTAATTTTACAACCAACCAACTTGTCCAATGAATACGATCTATTATCCTCCTAATTAATAAAATTCATCATCATCAAAAGCAGATAAGAAGTCAAGGACAATCGCTGTTAAAGACCTTAAGCAGCTCCTCTGGAGCCGAGTGGCCTGGGAAGCTGCTGCTGCTAAGGCAGAGTATTCGGCTCCTGAATAACACAGCAAATTCATTACTCTACCGTCTGACGAAGAGGCAAATGCAGGAAACAGTTAGAAATGCAGTATCTATAATGTGATGCCTCAAAAACCACCTGTAAGCACAGCTTTTGAACACAGAAATTATATGGGTGACAACTCGATGGTTCCTATTAAAATGACCAGAGGTATAAACATATTCTACTGCCAGGGAAAAGAAAAGCTTGCGGTAACTGTGTGAAGAGCCCATGGTGTGCCCGGCAGATCATCCGAAACCCTCACAGTTCAACTTGCTTATGGTGGAAATCTGCCTGCAGACAATGCCAGTCTGTTGAAGTCTACGATGGAGACGGTTCTTCCCAGCACCTTCGTGAGGACAAACGAATTCCTGGTGTGCCTGATGGGATGGCTCCTTGCTGAAGAGAAACTAAACGCTCCCAAAGCTCATAGTAATTTGTGAAGACTGTCATGGCTTCAGTTTCCCCAGGACATCAAAGACAACTGAATTTTTAGGTCTTTTCCTATCGATATATAGAGCTGTTGACCACTAAGGAGATGGGGAATACTTCTGACCGTTAATTTTAAGATTTATCTGGAGTCTGCATTGATTTTTATGTCTCTTTTAAGAAATAATAATGTCTTTGACTATTTTCTCTGCTAAGACATAGACAGTGTCTTGGTACCCTTAGTTTCCAGGCTGAGAGCCACCAACTGCACTAGAGGATCACATGCCATTTTGTCCTAACCACCCTTTGGCTTAAGAACAGCAGAGAGGTCAGAGTCTCCCTCTGATCTTCGCACAAAGCTCCTGCTGATGTGAACGGAGGTGCCAGCGGGGATGGGAGGAAGGCAGGGTCTCACATTTGCAATCACGACCATTCACTGTAGTTTACCAAAGGAATGTATCATTTCTACTGAATGAGCTTAATAAAGCTGCACCGCGTGGCTTTGAAGATTAGTCTTACTACCACCGTTTCTTCCTCCAGCAGGTGATACTAAAATATATTCATGCCTGCTCACACTGATTATTACTGCAATAAGATATCCTTTTAAAAAAAATGGTTTCACCGCTACCAGGGCAGTTTCTGAAGGAGCATGGCCCTGTGACCAGCTTTTCACAACAGTGGTGGTACAGATACAGTGCACGGAAGATTGTTCACAGCACCAGTTTCTACGTACAGGATCATTTCAGTGAAACACTCTATATGGAAATCATGTAAAACAACCAGAACCTTTTCCCCTTAATTTCTCAGTTTTGGCTTTTAACAAAAATCCCCTGGATTATGCTGTTAAAGATTTACTCTCTGACACTACACTTCCCTCCTGTTAGTCTTTCCCAATGATGAAGGACAGCTGGAAAATACTGCTCCACAACTGAACGCTTCTTTCCATGCCCGTGCATCACTTGGGATTGATTGCTGGACTACTGCTATGGGGAGAATAGGAGAGGTGCCTCCCCCAGAAACAGCCATATCATGTTTTTGAATATGGCATTTCTTTAAAGATAGCTTAATTTTGCAGTGTAAATATACATCTAATGACAAAAGGGATTAGGTGTAAATACTACTTAGTACTACATTGCCACACTTAGCGTTTCTGTCCTGTTCCTTATTTTGTATTAATGGTAGCAGAAGAAACAGTGACTGAGTTATAGTAATACCACTATGAGCCCAAGAGCTAGATCAGGACCACATGCGGGCGGTCTCTGTACAAAGAAAAAGACTGATTCTTGCTGATTGTAGAAGACTTGCAATTACCACTAAACCCATTTATTGCAGCAGCCTTTCCACTTCTACCACTGGAGGGTGTGGAAGTTCACACCTCCCACACCAGGCTGTTTACAAACCGTAAACTGCAACCCTACCTGACGACAACCTTCAAATTGCATTTGGAAGGATTTCTATGCAAGCACAAGGCAGGAGATTTACACTAACCACCACCCCCCCCCAAAAAAAAAAAAAAATCCAAGTATCTCAAATTCTAATCTTGCTTCTGCCATTTACTAGTTTCAGTTAGGCTAGAGAACACAATCTGAGACTGTCTGATTTACCAAGTTATCCATCAGCCTTGTACACTGAAGGGCTGGGCTCTAACTCTGCATCTGCCCTTTCCCTACGGTACAGCTTACTGCAGGTCAACTATTGTTACCGCAAGTCGGCAGATGAAAAACTCTTTCTAAGACTCAATTTGGAGTTTTAGAAAGCAGGCATTCTTTATTGCGGCGCCGGGTGCGCAGGGGATCATTCCAACCTAATGTGCACGCCAAGTTGTTCAACTTCAGAAGTTATATACAATTAGAATATACATATTCATTAGATTTCCTAGTAGTGATTAACATATTCATGTTACTTCCTGGAACTCATCAACATATGTAAAAGTCTTTAACGCATGCGCTCTTATGTTCATTGGTGGTCTCTCAGGGTCCTCTGGTGGTTGTCAATAGTCTTCCTCACTGTGTCCTTTTGCTCACCTCTTCAATTTGGCGTCCTTCAGTCTAAGTCATTCTTGTCTTTCTTAAAGGTTAACTTTAAAGGTTAACTATTGATGTATGGTTTGCCTTTGTTCTTCCCTATTACTGTTACAGGGTGTTACATATACTTCTGAACACTGATGGTATCATTCCCTCCTATTCTTTTGAGAACCTGGAGCTATACTTCTGCGTGCTGACGTTATCATTCCCTCCTATTCTTTTGAGTATCTGGAGCTATTAAAGCTACAATCCTCGCTACATTATTGGTTATGAATATATTGTAATTCTTTCAGATATTCTATCTTAGCTGATAACTGTCACATTATACACCAGACTCTAAGATATAAAATTAATATCAGTAATAGGCATAATACAATTAGGATTATCAGAATAACGATTGGATGGAGCATCAAGTTCAGAATTCCTGTTGCAGTTGGTGACCAGCCAAGAAGGGTTTCCCACCAATGATGTTCTCCATCCTTTTTCACCCTTTCCAAGATAGGGCGTATTTCTTTACTCGTTCTACTAATTGGCACAAATCATTATGTTGCAGCAACTTTTTCACTAATGTGAGATTCACTCCAATGGGGGTAGGTAACAAATCTTCATTTAGTGTATAATTGGATTGTAGTAACTGATAAGAGGTAACAGGAGCAGTATAGTTAAAATCACATCCCATTATGTTAGTGAAGTTGCAAATACATATATTTGAGTGGTTGCTATTATCTACTTTAACATTATCTACAAATATAAAATCACAAAAGCTTCTCATACAAACACATCCCTTTCCAATATATACAAGCATAGTTTCGAGCATTTCATCGGGATGCACTTCAAAATGACAGACGTTTTGCTCAGTGTCAAGGCACACGTCTTGGGCTTTAATGGTGTTACTTTCACAAACAAATTCTTGTTGTTCCCGTACAATACATGTACTAACATCAACAGTCTGCCATTTGTTTCCATTTCGTTGGGCCCATACCCTATGTTCTAATGGACAGATTATAGCTCCGTTCGATTTAATCCCAATGCAATGTTTGGGTATATGGTGTATACCAAAGCATTATGAACTGTTAAAACAAAAGCTGTGGCCTTACTGTTGACGGGATCAAAAGTGAAATTAACTAAGTACCACCAGGATTGGAATTCTTTCTCAAATTTAGTTGCATTATCCCAAATTACCTTTTGAATTTCGGTGGGTAGGGTGCCCTCTTCCCCTTCTCTTATAATTGCTGCTACCATAGATTACATCCACAATTGAGCCTGGACACAACTAAGGGCTAGAGAAACGTTACTTTGGGCTATAACAAGATTTGAAATGGTCTTTTCTATTTTTCAGAAGTCCAGGATTTGATGTATACCCAATCTCCGGGCTGGAATGGATGCGCTGGGGAATCAAGACCTAGAGATTCATTTAAGACTACATACTTATTCAGTTTTCGTAAAACTTTCCCGAGAGCAATCAAGTAATTTCTTGCATCATTCTCCCCTTGTATTCGCATGTCTCCTGGCAGTCCAGGTGTTTGGTACGGTCGTCCATACATCAATTCGTACGGGCTGAAATGTTGTCTACGTCGTGGTTGGACTTAACAAAGCTAAAGGCAAGGCCTGTGTCCAATTCATCGAGGTTTCCTGACATATCTTACTTAACTGAGTCTTGAGGGTATAATTCATTCTTTTTACTTTACCACTAGATTGAGGCCTACAAGGGGTATGTAAATCCCAACTAATACCTAACAGTCTGCTTATTTCGGTAACTACTTTGGCTACAAAATGTGGACCCCTATGTGATGACATCCCTAGAGATACTCCAAATCTTGGAATTATTTCTTTTAATAATATTTTTACTACTTCTTTTGCTTTATTGGTGCGACATGGAAAGGCCTCAGGCCAACCTGTATACGTATCCACGAGGACCAACAAATACTTTAGCTCTCCTTTTCTTGGCATTTCGGTAAAATCTATTTGCCAATACTCCCCAGGCACCTGTCCCTCGGCAGTTTTTCCGAATTGAATTTTATTTTGTGTTGTTTTGGATTATTCTTACAACGTTTCGCAACTTTGTGTAACTGATTTTATCATTTCCACCATGTTTCTACTAATAACTGACTTCTGTAAATATTTTAACGAATTTTCAGTTCCCCAATGTACAGCATTGTGTTCCTCCTTTACTAAATTATTAATGAGAGAATGAGGTATTACTACTAAACCTGTAGGTGTAACCGCCCATCCGTCTTCCCATTTTTCTGCTCGTAAAGTTTTGATTAGTTTTAAATCTTGCTTATCATAAACGGGGTTTTTCTGTAGGGGAATTATTTTCTCTGGCACTATAGCTAGTACTTTCTTCCCTATGCCTTTTTCTGCAGCCCGCTTTGCAGCCAAATCAGCCAGCTTATTTCCTCGCTCCTGAGCAGTTTGTCCCAACTGATGAGCTTCACAATGCATAATAGTTACAGCAGCCGGAGCCTTTATGCTCTCCAGTAGGCTCAAGATCTCTTCTTTATGCTTTATCTCCGTACCTTGTGAGGATAACAATCCTCTTTCCTTCCAAATTGCTCCATGTGCATGTACTACTCCAAAAGCATATTTAGAATCTGTCCAAATATTCACACACTTATTCGCACTTAACTGTAGAGCTCGGGTGAGAGCTATCAGTTCTGCCTTCTGAGCTGACGTCTTGATGGGCAGCGCTTGTGCTTCCACCACCGTTTCGACAGTGGTGATTGCATATCCTGCTACCCGCTTTCCTTCTTTCACAAAGCTGCTACCGTCCGTATATAGCTCCCAATCCGGATTCTGCAAGGGAACGTCCTTTAAACCAGGTCTGCTTGAATAGACTTCCTCAGTGGTCTGCAGACAGTCATGTTCCGGTTTGCCACCTTCTTGTTGAGTTGAGAGAAACATGGCAGGGTTAATCACGATAGTAGTCTTTAAGGTCACATCATCTCATCTGACCATTGCAGGGGACCTTTTGATGACTTCAATAATTCATACAAGGGTTTTACCATCAGCCCATAGTTAGCAATCCATAATTGTCTCTGTCCCCTCAGAATTTCAAAGCCCAAATACAATACAGTTTCCTGTGCAATTTGGGCCTTTCCTTTCGATGCTCTGTAACCACTAAGTCCGAGGAAATTTAATAAACTG